GGCACCCCGGATCCCAGTGCTCCCAGTGCTGGAGTGTGGGTGGGATGGGCACCCCGGATCCCAGTGCTCCCAGTGCTGGAGTGTGGGTGGGATGGATGCCCCAGGTCCCAGTGCTCCCAGTGCTGGAGCATGGCTGGGATGGATGCCCCGGCTCTCAGTGCCCCTGGTGCGGGGTTGGGGTGCCCGGGGTGCCCGGGGTGCCAGTGTGACCGCTGTCTCTTGGCAGCTGGGGCATGGCCGTCAATGTGTACTCGACGTCGGTGACCAGCGAGAACCTGAGCCGCCATGACATGCTGGCCTGGGTCAACGACTCCCTGCAGCTCAACTACACCAAGATCGAGCAGCTCTGCTCAGGTGGGCTTGTGGGGCGGCATGGGGGGCATGGGGGGCATTGTCAGGGTGCCCCCAGCCCCCCTGACCGCAGCTCGGGCCGGCGCAGGGGCTGCCTATTGCCAGTTCATGGACATGCTGTTCCCCGGCTGCGTGCACCTGCGGAAGGTGAAGTTCCAGGCCAAGCTGGAGCACGAGTACATCCACAACTTCAAGGTGCTGCAGGCCGCCTTCAAGAAGATGGGAGTGGACAAAGTAGGTCCATGGGGACAGGGGGGCCGCCCCTGCCCACGGGAGCCGGCTCCGCCGGGCCGTGCTGCCCCGTGCCGGTGTCCCCACCGTGCCAGTGTCCCTGCCGTGCCGGTGTCCCCACCGTGCCAGTGTCCCTACCAGGCCGTGCTGCCCCGTGCCGGTGTCCCTGCAGTGCCGGTGTCCCTGCCGTGCCACTGTCCCCACCGTGCCAGTGTCCCTGCCGGGCCGTGCTGCCCCGTGCTGGTGTCCCCGCCGTGCCGGTGTCCTTGCTGGGCCGTGCTGCCCCGTGCCGGTGTCCCCACCGTGCCGGTGTCCCCACCGTGCCAGTGTCCCCGCCATGCCGGTGTCCCTGCCGTGCCGGTGTCCCCACCGTGCCGGTGTCCCTGCCGTGCCGGTGTCCCCGCCGGGAGCGCTGCCCCACCAGCCCCTCCGCGTGCCCTCAGATCATCGCGGTGGAGCGGCTGGTGAAGGGCAAGTTCCAGGACAATTTTGAGTTCATCCAGTGGTTCAAGAAATTCTTTGACGCCAACTACGACGGGAAGGAGTACAACCCGCTGCTGGCGCGGCAGGGCCAGGACGTCGCGCCCCCCCCTAACCCAGGTGATCACATCTACAACAAACCCAAGAAACCCATTGGCACTGCAGGTAATGTCCGGGGCCCCGCAGCGAGCGCTGCCCCCCGCCCTCTGCACCCCGTGGGTCGCGGCCAGGCACCCCCGACCCCTGCCTGCGCCCGCTCTGCTGCCTGCCTGCCTGCGCCGGGGGGGCTGGGCGGGTCTGCAGGGACACTGAGGCAGGGATCTTGGCTGCCTCCGCCTGCCTGCTCAGCCCGGGCTGGCGTGCTTTGTCGCCCCAGGCGCCCCAGCTGCCATCCCCCTGTGCCGTGCAGCTCCCGTGGGCACTGGGAGCTCCCCGTGCTGGCCCAGTGGGAGCTGCCAAGGACTGGGGCCTCCTCAGATCCCGTGCTGAACCCCGAACAAGCCACAAGCACCCCTAGAGGGCTGGGGGCAAGATCT